TATATATATCAATATATATATATATATATATTTTAATTGAACCTAAGCAGTACCATAAAAATTTACCTTTTGTCTGGAATTCCTGAAATGCAGCACTGCACATCCTGGTTTTTCAAGGGTGCCTGGGCACTGCTTTGCTTATAGGTGCATGTCTGTAGTGTGAGATCTAAGGCACTACTGCATCTGTTGGTCTCAAAAGAGTTGGAGTGAGATTTGGTGATGTCACTACTGTATTGTTCATTCTTCTCTTTGATAAAATCTATGGCAGAAGGAAGCAAAGCCTTGCCTCTACCAAGTTGGCCATCTCCACACAGAGACACAGTGTAAAACAGGTATCTCAAAGGATCGGCCCATAGACCAGTTACTTTTGGCCTGCTGGTAGGGCCGCCGATAGGGAGGTAGGGCTGGCCCCCCTGTACTGGGCCCAGGCCCAATTAGGTCAGCAGGGGGTCCAGAGACAGAGAGGGGACTCTAACCTTTGGCAGCAGCCAGGGGCATAGCTAGGGCTGCCACCTGTCCGGGATTCACCCAGACAATCTTGGTTTTGAGTCCTGTATGTGCTTTGTCTGGGTTTCAGTCCAGATGAAACCCGGACACAAGATGTCACGATGTCAGGCGTACAGGTGCAACCACGAGGTTCTGGTGTTCCCACTTGAATGCATAGAGGAGGCATGGGACACAGGGGGATGCTGGGACTTAGGGAGCAAGGAAGTGTCTGAAACACTTGGTGCAGATAAGTCTTGAAGTGCACAGGGGTTCTGCTTCAAGCAGATGTGTTGCTCACTATTTCTCCTCATTCTTTCCCCTGGCTGTCTCTCCTTACTGCCTCTCTTTGCTGTCTCTCCTGGCTCTCCCGTGGCTGTCTCTCCTCGCTCTCTCCTCACTCTCCCCTGGCTGTCTCTCCTCGCTCTCTCCCCTGACTTTCTCTCCTCACTCACTCTCTCCTGGCTGTCTCTCCTCGCTCATTCTCCTGGCTGCCTCTCCTGGCTCTCTCCCCTGGCTGTCTCTCCTCACTCTGTCCTGGCTGTCTCTCCTCACTCTCTGTCCTGGCTGTCTCTCCTCACTCTCTGTCCTGGTGTCTCTCCATGTCCCAGCATTTGTTCTGGAACTAGTAGCACTACAAAGGAAGGCAAGCAGCAGACCGGAGTATGGAGCATGTCATCCTTCTTGTCACTGCTCTCATTATTATTGTCATTGCCGCATATTGTCACAATTGCCCATTTGTTACTCTCACATTGCCACGATTGCCCGTTTGTTGCTTGCATATTGTCACTATTGCCTCCAGACCTATCCTTTAATCCCCTCCCACTTTCAGCGCAATTTGCCCATACTCACCATTCACACCATTAGCTCCACCCACCACTCCACCCCTACACCATCTCATTCTCATGAATTAAATTTTTCATAAGTTCCTAATTGTATGCCTGTTGGTTTGTACTAGTATGCACTGAGAAACGCACACAATGAATTACACACTATGGAAGCTTGTTCTAAACGTACAGTACAGGTCTGGTCACTAATAAGACTTTTCTCATTACCAGATGAAAGAACCTGGCTGGGAACAGTGTGTAGCATTCTCTAAGCAAGGTTTGGTAGAAAAGGTCCAGATAAATGAAACTTTTTGTCACATTGTACATTCTCATAAGTCATCATTGGTAGTATGAAAATATACTGTATGTTGGAATCATTATCTAATTATAGAATAATAAGTTATAACTGACGAGAACTTAATAACAAGAAAAATTAGAATCAACTATGTGATCGTTCCTCTTCTATCCAAAGGCTAAACTAGAAAGTTTGCCAAAAGTTTAAACGATATTTAAAAGATTGCTGACATTTTAGATGCAAGTGGATTGAATCACATACTGGTTACTTATCTCTTTCAAGGGGGGTCATTTGCTAAAGGCAAATAGGCTGTTTACTTTGCATGGGAAGTATCCCTTAGCTTAGTGAATATGGCAAAAATTCACTTTGCAAAGAATACCCAATCACATGTAAGACATTTTTTTAAAATGTATTTTTGCTTGCACAAAGATAGGGAGAAACTCCTCCTGTAAAATAAAATTTCCTTTGCAAAGTGAACAGCCTGTTTGCCTTTAATAAATCAACCCCAAAAGGACTCTAACAGTGAGATCTCTGTGCTGGGGCTTCCAGATTGGTCCCTTCTTGCCATGGAGTCTCTCTCATGAAGACATTGGTTTGAGATGGATTGTCACTTTATCTTCATCATATAGACTATAGTTAATGGATCATCTACACAAAGTGACATTAGTAGGTATTGTAGTATCGTAGGCACAGCATAGCCTATATTTATAATACTTTAAATACTGTGTATCTTTACATACACACATATATATATATATA